GCTGCGCTTCAGGATCAGCCCGCTGGTGCCCGCCGCCTTGAAGCTCCCTGCAGACGGGCGCCAGTTACCGCTGCCTCCCCACCCGGTACGCACCCTCCCCACCCGCGCCTGCCCGTGCTCACCCGTGTGCCCGGCCAGCTGCACCCAGGCGTAGCGCTTCCTGAAAGGGCTGATGACGGGCATGTTCACCATGGTCCGGATCTTCTGCCAGTGGCTTTTCTGAAAGCAACACGGTCGGAGCCCGCAGGTCCAGCATCTCCTCCATGCATCAGCCCTCCCTCCTCAGGACGGGGGCTGGGCCAGCCCGCCCCACCGCAAGCAGCTAGGGTCCCCCGATTCATTCATTTGTTCACTCAGGAAACTTTATTGTGCGCCTGCGTGGTGGACATTGAGACACACAGGGTGGTGACAGGTATCCAGTTTCTCCAATGTGCTGAGAAGAGCCCTGGACTTCGCGTCAGAAGGCTCAGGTCTGAACTACAGTTCTGCCGCTCACAAGCTGAACTTTGCGGCAGGTTATTAAACTTCTCTGTCGTAGGTTTTTGTGAGCGTGAGAATCAACTGATGACCACCCTTGTTTAAAAATGCCGGTTCTTGGGTTTACCACAGGGACATTCTAAGTTTGGGGTAGGACCAAAAACTTGCATTTCTACCAATGTCTCAGGACATTTGGGGGCCGGAGAAACAAGCCTTCGAGCATCAGCTTCTTCATCTGTAAAATGGGGGAATGGCTGCTCTCACTGTGTTGTGAGCAGTAAATGAGGCTTGAAAGTGACAGGCTCTTTCTCCCCTGACCTCATTTCTTTGCATGAAGTAGAAGCTGGACAAATATGGATTGTTTTTTAAAATATATTTTTATTGATTTCAGAGAAGAAGGGAGAGATGGAAACATTAATGAGGAAAATCATTGATCCGCTGCCTCCTGCGCGCCCCCTACTGGGGATGAAGCCCGCAATCCAGGCATGTGACCTGGTTCATAGGTTGATGCTCAAACGCTGAGCTGGACTGGATTGCTTTTTATTTATTATTATTATTTTTTAATTTTTTATCCTCACCCAAGGATTTCTTTTTTTTATGTAATGGTACATTTTTTTAAAATATATTTTATTGATTTTTTTACAGAGAAGAAGGGAGAGGGATAGAGTTAGAAACATCGATGAGAGAGATCGATCAGCTGCCTCTTGCACGCCCCCCACTGGGGATGTGCCTGCAACCAGGGTACATGCCCTTGACCGGAATCGAACCCGGGACCCTTGAGTCCGCAGGCCGATGCTCTATCCACTGAGCCAAACCGGTTCGGCCTGGATTGCTTTTTAAACTTATTTTGAGAATATGTTTATGAAAGCTGGGGACAGTGAAACAAGGAAGGGCCTAGGATAGCTAGAAGGAGCAACAGGAAAGAGGCTGCCTTGGTTCAATAGAAATGTTATGGCGAAAAAGTGAGCCGAGATGGGGCTGCTATCAGCTCACTTGAGAGTCAGAGAGAAGGGCACCTTGGGGACAGGTTCAGGGCATTAGTCCCTGGTGAGATGCTGCTGCCCATTTCTCCCCTGGTTGCGAGCCTCATGGGTCCTTAGAGTTTAGGAGACACAGGCTGCCTGGGGGGGAAGCGGAGGGGGAAGGAGAGAGCATGCTCCAAATACGGATTGTTGATTCATTCACTTTGGGACCATAGGTTCCTCCCATTTAGGGAGACAGTCACAGAAACAAATCTTGACAAAGGCCCAGGGCAGGAGGCCAGCCTGGCTGGGTCTGAAGAAATAATGGCGTGAGGTTTCCCCAAATCATCTGCTATCCCTGGATGCCATATCGCTCCTCACCAGTTAGCAAGACCCAGGGCACCTTTGGTCCTAATCTGGACCTAGGAACCTGAGCTTTGAAAATGCAATACAGAGCTGAGGGTCTGTTATCTTTGATGAAACTGAGAGGGAAATGTGGGCTTTGATGAACCTCCTGCCTCATGACCACTGCTCTGGCCTCCACCCAATCCTGAAAGCGTCTCATACTCTGAACCTTTCCTCTTTCCACCAAAACCCATCATTCCTATGTCAACGGGTTTGTAGCACACAGGTTTGCTCATCCAAACTGCATGTCTGCTGCCTCCTCCTAGGGGTGTCTGCTTTTAGAGGAGTTACACATGTGTGCCCCACAGAGCTGGAACCCAGGAATCCTGACTAGAGGGAGTTCTCAGAGGGAGAACTGGGGTAGTGGTCTAAGTAGGGGAAGGCTGCTCACCATTAGGCCCTTTCCCATGTGGAGGAGATGGGGTTAGTGACAGAGCACTGGATGGGGAGTCAGGAGTTGGTTCCAGTCCTGGCTCTGTCACGTTCTAGCTGAGTGAGTCCAAGCGAGAACTTCATCTGTGTGAGCCCGTTTCCTCTGGGAAGACATAGCTGCTGCCATAACACAGCCACCATGTACTGACCGCCTACTGTATGCCAGGCACTTCTCAGCCTCCACAAGACAGCCTTGCTACTGCTTTCCTACTGCAGTCCCTACATGGCACACTGGGGTGTGATCACGTGTCCAATCCCCGGGGAACGAGGGGTGTAGCCAGGAGCAACCCACTAGAAGCATGACAGCTCTTTCAAAACTCCTTATTCACTCTTTAAATACCTACAAGGCTTGCATTATGCTGCATAACAATCCAAGTTTTATTATAAACTCTCCCACCTCCAACTCTTCAAATAAAATTCTGGGAAGATGTATGTGCCATGTGTATTCAGCGGCCCCACCCTATTCCCTCTTCTCCCACTCTCAGTTTGAGAATCCTGATAATGATGCGCAGGGGCAGCAAGTGCATGAGGTGGTGGCAGTGCTGCTATTTTATAGGGAGAAATCGAGGCATGGCCTCACTTCCTGCCTCCAGCCGCCCAGCCCCTGGTTCAAGCTATCTACCAGCCCAACCCCCTCCCTATGTTCCAACTGACCCAGCTGGTTCCAAAGTTTATGCTACCACCCCGATTTCTTTTGGGGAAAATGGGACCTCCACACTAGAAAGAGCTGTGTACTAGGTGAAGCAATTTGCAACCACAAAGTGGTGTGTTTGGGGGAAACACTGAGATCTGCCTGGAGACCCCTCTCTGTTGGCAGGATACCTTTGCCTTCATCCAAAGGAATGAGGTTAATTGTGGGACTGAGGCCACTTTAGGGGCCTACTGGCAGACTGTTGGGGGCAGTGGGACCAGAATGGAGTTCATCAGAGGGTACAACTATTTCTGTAGCCGCCCCAGTAGAAGAGGGAATCAGCCTCGGGTCGAATGAGATGGGAGAACTGCATTATTCTTTCTTCTGGGATCATGTGGGAGCAGTGAGTGGGGCTGAAGATAGAGGTAGACCTGGTAGAAGAGGACTTAGCACCTGCAGTCCAGGACTACTGCCACTTGATTGATATGTGATGACACAGCATCAACTTGTTCCCAAGATGATGTAAAATTGGGGCATCATCTACGCTTACCGCCACAATTTTGAGAGGATCATGTCAGCTGAGAGCAGCAAAGACAAAAAGGCTGGTTCTAGTCATGCAGGTTAGAAAGGGCTTTAATACCTATTATGTCACCTGAGCCCTCCCAGCCACCTCCTGAGGTGGTCTGACAGGATTTAGCTCCCCTGCCACTAATGGATATGTTCAAACACGGAAGGAGTTGATACAAGTGTCATGGAACTCACTGCCGTTTTCCATCTTACGGAGCTACCTGGTACCTCCCCCAGGACATAATGCATATAGAGATGCACATGTCCACCCTGGCCAGGCGGTTCAGTTGGTTGTAGTGTCACCCCATACACCAAAAGGTTGTGAGTTTGATCCCCAGTCAGGGTACATACAGGAGGCAGCCTGTCAGTGTTTCTCACATCCATGTTTCTCTCTCTCTCTCTCTCTCTCTCTCTCTCTACTCAATAAAAACATATTCTGCCCTGCTGGCATGGCTTAGTGGTTGAACGTCAACATATGAACCAGGAGGTCACAGGTTTGACTCCCAGTCAGGGCACATGCCAGTTTATGGGCTTGAGCCCCAGTAGGGGGCGTGCAGGAGGCAGCCAATCAATGGTTCTCTCTCATCATTGATGTTTCTATCGCTCCCTCCCTTTCCCCTCCTCTCTGAAATCAATGAAAATATATTTTCTTAAAAGATGCATGTGAAACATCCTTTGGTGGGTGGGTGATGATTTGGGCACATGAACAGCAGCAGGGGAGATATTTTTGAGCAGGGTAGGCTTTTATTGTATGTATCTCAGAAAGCAGATTTATTATGTTACAAAGTGAGATCTACTTGAAAAGAGGGTCAAAGCACCATCCTCTGGCCCAGCCTACTCCCCACAGAAGACTGGGAAACCAACCCCTCTCGGGGCGAAAGCCCATGAGAGCTGACCCGTGTGTCTTTAACGAAGTCACAGGAGGCCCCTCTGACAATGCCTCACTCCTGGGGCTGGACTAGGAGCATCTCTCTCTGGGCAGGGCTTTGCTAGACACCAGCCTCTCACCGGCCTTTATCTAAGCTCTATTTGGGAGCCGGGAGGACTCCTGCTTCTATATCACATCAGGTACTCAGTGTACCTGCTGCCAGAACGGACCCTTTGCCTTTGGTACTCATCCCCACACTCCCTGCCTCCAGCCCTTCGGTCATTGGCTGCAGCTCTCTACCAGCCCACCCCCCTCCCCATGTTGCCACTGCCCTATCAAACTGGCACTCCCTGTGGTGGTGGTAATGGTGGTGGTGGTGAAGGCAATCAGTTTAAATTTATAGAATCATTTGCACGAAGGTATAAGTGACCCACGACTTCACCTTCCCCAGGGCATTTACTTTATAAAAAGGAAGTCAGTTAACCTAAATTCTGCTCTATAATTAGTGAAAAGTGAAGTGTGGGAGTTCTGAGTCCAGGACAGGATAGCATCCAGGTCTCCTTACCCATCCTGGAGCACTGAGAGAAGAGAAACAAGTGAACAGGAGCCAAACATCCTCTCCTTCTGCTAGAGCAACACCCCACGATTGTCTTAAGAGGCAGGGAAGGCCTAAGAATACTGACACTCATGCCAGCTGTCCTTGGGGACAGGCCCCTAACCACCTCCCCCACCCCCCCCTTCCCTCGCCTGTGTAGGTTTCCCTGCCCATGACTTTTCCCTCCACAAGAGGAAAGGCCCGGGGAGGGAGGGAGGGAGGGAGGGCTGTCCAGCCCCAACTACCCAGCGGGGAGCAAGGCTCCAGGCTCTTGGAAGGCTGTTGGGGGCTCCTAGGAGGAGAAGGGGAAGGACGCGTGTGCCAGGCAGAGGCAAGGTGGAGTCT